CAGATGATTTTCAATTTTTTTATTCAATGGTGTGTTGTCCAGAAAAATGGTGTTTCCCCTTAAAGTCTGCCACCACAAACAGTAAGTGCTTGGTTATTGATTCACCTTCTACATCTTGATTTTTGACCTCTAAGCACTGACTGCAGCGCCATTCACGGCCGTTTTGAACTACATTCTGAACATATGTTTCTTGGTGTCTGGCCTTATTTCTAAACTATACCTCAATCTCTCCTTTGTCTACAGCAGGAGTACCCAAAAGGTAGATCCCCAGATGTTTCAAAACTACAGCTTCCATTAAAGGACCACTATAGTGCCAGGAAGACAAACTCGTTTTCCTGGCACTATAGGGTCTTCAGGTTCCCCCCACCCTCAGGGTCCCACTCCCGCTGAGCTGAAGTGGTTAAACACTTGCCTTTCTCCAGCGCCGGGCTCCCTCGGCGCTGGGGAACTCTCCCCCTCCCGACATCAGTGCTGAATGCGCATACGCGGCAAGAGCCGCACGAGCATTCAGACAGTCCATAGGAAAGCATTTCTCAATGCTTTGCTATGGACATCCAGCGTCTTCTCACTGTGATTTTCACAGTGAGAAGTGCGGAAGCACATTTAGCGTCTGTCAGTGAGAAAGCCACTAGAGGCTGGATTAACCCTAGTGTTAACATAGCAGTTTCTCTGAAACTGCTATGTATACAGCTGCAGGGTTAAAACCTGGGGGACCCAGACCACTTCATTGAGCTGAAGTGGTCTAGGTGCCATGGGCATCCGCAGGAATTTTTCCGGGGGGGGGGGGCATAATTGTAATGACATCCATACTTGGTCCCTTTTTGACAGTGTCATGAAGGGGAGGAGCATAGTCATTATCACATAAAGCCAAGGTGAATAGCATTTTCCCAACTATGGTGTCAGGAATACATGTTTGTATTCCTGACACTATAGTGCTCCTTTAAGCAAATTAAAGGAACATTCTGGTCACCATAACAACTTCATCTAAATGAAAATGTTATGATGTCAGGAAGCCCCTGGGTGCTCTCTTTCCTTTAAGGGGTTAAACCGCTCTCAAATGGTTTAACCCCAAAGGCTTCCTCCAGCTCCAGATCTCCAAGTCGCTCAGTGGTATTCGGCTTCTGAAATGGAGTGTCAGAAAGTGCAGATTGACGTCAGGCATGGGTGCTACAGATTGGCTAGAGTGGTCAGTTGATGCTCTAAGTCAATCGCTAGTTCCCAGTTCATAAAAATGTTTTACTTTTTTATGAATGGGGAGCTACTGACTGGCTTAAGAGTGCCAGCTGACCGCTCTAGCCAATCAGCGACACCCCTCCCCAGCGGCCCTCTGTGCTTACTGACACTCAGTAAATAAAAGTGAACACATTAACACTGATAATTTTTTTACTTGGGGAGATGAGAAGGTCCAACGTTTCCCTGCCAGGCCCAGGTGCCAAAGCCTTATGATGTGGTGTCCAGAATAAAGTGGAGGGTTCACTTCACTTGTCCTTCCTGCTCCAATCTCATTTTCTTCTTCTTCTTCATTTGACGCAGTCTTCTTTTTCTTCTGACACTGTCTTCTCTCCTCCTTGGCTCCTTTACCTTTCTGCTACTTTCTGCTTATTGTGCTCCTCCTTCTGCTCCTGTCTCTCTCTGATCTTTCTGCTCCTTGCAGACCCTTTCTGCTCCTTCTCCTACTTTACCTTTGTGCTCCTTGCTACCATTTTCTGCTCCTTCTCCTACTTTACATTTGTGCTCCTTCTGATTCTTTCTACTCCTTTACCTTTGTGCTCCTTCTTTGCAGACCCTTCCTTCTCCTTGCAGACCTGGCATTCTCATTTCTGTTCCTTCTGTCCCTTCCAGCTCCTTGCTGACCCTGTCTGCTCCTTCTACTTTACCTTTGTGCTGCTTTACCTTCCAGCTCCTTGCAGACCCTTACCGGGCCTTGCAGACCCTTCCTGCTCATTTGTCTCCCTTTGTGCTCCTTCTCCTACTTGCTGTCCCTTCCAGATCCTTGCTGCCCCTTTCTGATCATTTCTATTCCTTCTCATTTCTGCTCCTTTACCTCCCCTATATGCCTCACTTCCCTGATCTCTAGGCTATCTCTGCCCCCCCCCTATATGCCTCA